CCATTACCCTTAACAGCCTCGAATAATTTCCCTGCAATCATCGAAGGTCTTCCAAACCTTTGACGTAATATGCTCATAGCCTCGTAGTAGCCCTCTTTTGGCTTCATAAACTTACAGCACTGTATAGCTCTTGCAGCATCTCCAGTGCAATATCTCATCAAATACATTAACTTCAATTCATCAGTTAATAAAAAACTACTCAACATGATCTCAAACTCCTTTACAAATTGTAAATAATCAGCCGGGTTTCCATCGAAACACCGTGGTTCAAATTTAGGGAGTTTGATGTTCCTATTATCCCTGAACGGCGAAACAGTAACATCAACCATGTCATGCTTAACATCAGACACATCGTTACAATTAACAGACAAGTCACCATGACTTACTTTCCTGTTTGCATCCAAGACACTCTGTCCCTTCTTTGACCCAGGCATTGTTGAACTTGACCCAATTCCAAAAATGTTCCAGATATTGCTTGTTCAAAGAGGACTTGACCGGCACCAGGAAAGATGAACGGTGACTATCCAAACTGTCACCAACTATCTGAATCCGTTAGAAAATGTTTCCGCCGTCAGAAACTGTTCACGGTCAGAAACTGTCAGCCACGTCTCGTAAACCGTTAATGCCCAGCTCTTGCTACGCTCGGGCTCACGTTGTTCCTTGCAGGTTTTCAGAAACGCTTAGTAATAACGGACGCAAAAACCAAAACACCGATTGGCCGCTTGAGAATTCTTTATTGTTACACCAACATATAAAATAATGGTTTTACTAGGGTCTGTGAACAAATATTACAATAATAAATCACAATATTACTTCTGACGGTTTATTGCTGACTTCTTTCTGAACAGCGACCGATGAGACGATGACTGTCGTATTGATGCCTCCGCGAAAATTTGGGAAGTTGGTTTTGAGCAAACAACCAAGAATTGATCGTTCAATCTTCAACGGCATTTACACTGTGTGCATCTGAATTAGTGTGTAGCAATAGTCTCTTATTATTCATTGTCTTTGTGGACGAACTGGTAGCCCCACTTTTCAACTTCCTGGAATTAAGACTGCTTGGGTTGGGGAATACTGGGTGTGATGTACTGCAGTTTGTCACCGGGGTACAGGGATCGTTATTAGAGGAGTCTAGATCTGCGGTGAATTTCCTTCCTAGTCTACGAACCATTTTCGGACCTTATATTTTCACGCAAGTTCGTTTCCGAATGCGATGTGCTTTGTACAGAAAGGTTCACACTCCTTCGCTCTGCCTCAACAGAATTGTGGGTGCTCAGTGGTGTTGTACAGGAACTGGGATTCATGGTTTTAGAATCGGTCATATAAGTCATTCTTTGGATAGGCGTTTTGTCACGAGCTAAATTAATCGTGTGGTAACGCGTATTTTTTAGTAGTGTTTGCCTACTGTAAAAGATGTCAGTATTAGAGGACGAGTCAAATTTCAACACAAGTGGGCAAGATTTGTTTTTCCGAGACTTTCTTAGTCGATGGCAGCTGCATGGGACGTTATTCATAGAGAATGCATTCAAAAGAGTGCTTTTGACCTTACTGATCTGTGCATTATCCGGTATATTATATACAATTATGTTCTTCTCGCGCACTACACGATGATATACTTCAGTTGCGGCGTAGTTTATCAGGTTTGCGGTTTGTGGTAACTTTCTAGGTGAAGTGCGTCGGTGTCACAGTGGTTAAGACTCTCGCCGACCATGCACATGGTCCGGGGTTCGAGCCCACGCCGACACACACCTGATATCTATGGTTGGCCTGCGAATTTTGGACTACCGATATCCACGCTGAAAATTCCACACTTGTACCAAAAATACGGTGTGGAATCAAGCTGTAATAAAAAAAAATAAAAATAATAAATAAATAAGTACTACTACTGCTGGTTTCATTAGGCAGTGCCAGTTTTGAGATCTTAACTTCAAGCCCCCTAATTATAGAAAATAGTTCTTCGAATTTATCTTCACAACTAGATGTAGAACTAAAAACTGGATTAGTGATGGAGTAAAAATGTTTGCCGTGTAATTCTTATCGCAAGACGCTTTGCAATGGTCTACGAGGCCTAGATCATTACATGTAGTATCACTGTGTATACCATCCGTGATGTTGTTTACTAAGCAAGCAAGTGAGGGGAGTTTAATGTCCGGACTTGATGTGTCTACCGCAGCAGACCTATATTTAGTTGTTAAATCAACAGATGTGGTGCTCTCACTTCCTACAGGCCTACTTATTCTGTTTGGTTTGATTTTTTACTGGGATGTGAAGCAGACAGTGGAGTTAGACGCTTTGTTTGGACCATTGGCATTTAGTACAAAGTCAAGATTCTTAACTATAAGAGAATGAGCAATGTGTCTGTAAGGTCCGTTTTTGAGTGTTGGGGATTTAAACTGTCTAGTTATGTATGCAATTAACAGTTTATACGAATAAAAATATCGAGATAGAATATTGAGATACCCTATACAAATACTGTAAATGCGAAGATGCTATAAAAGTAGCACTTAGATGGACACTATCTATAACGGATAATTTTAAACGTAAAAGTTATATTCTATGAAAGAATAGGACTAAATACTTAATACTGTCGTCGAGAGACCTATTAAAAAGTTGCCTATGGAGTTAAAAAAAGAATTGAGAAATAACACGCGAAAAAGCAACAAAGCCTTTGAATTGCGCGTCTAGTTTTGTGATACAATAACATGTACTGGTCAGTGTGTACACTAGCCTAAATGGAATGGTAATTCGGTTGGTCTGACAAACTTAAACTTCCAAATTATTGCTACGCTTCTCAAGCACTGTGAGAAGGGCCACTTCCTCATTTCGAGGTTTCTTCAGTTTTTCCCTTATACGTGAACAAAGAGGAGATAGATGAACATACGAAAATGTCGAATGGCCCAAAACCCTGATGTTGACGCTTTTGTTTTTGACTTTTGTTGTTTGTGGTCCGTGCTTTGTATTCACTCTACTTTTGGCAGTATTTTGTTAAAGATGATGGTACCATGAGGAGTTTGTATAGAAAATCTTTATAGGCAGTCTAGGATGTTTACCTACAAGTTTTTGTGCCTTTCAAATATTAACTCAATTTGGTAGAACATATAGTCCACAGAGCCCGAGTAATATGGTCTAGCTACTGCTTTTTGAAGAAGATCAAGATTATCGAGGAGTTGCCTGGTGAAGTTGGTTATTCCGGAAATTCGCTCGATAAAAACAGAAACATATCACTAAGTTAGGCTAGTATGTTAGCAGCTTAACACAGTATAGTGGGCGAATAACGAACAAAAAATACTGAACAATATAATACGTACTAGAGAAAAGAAGTAAGTAAACCCAAACAGCAACCAAAAACAAAATGGATGCGTAGAATGTAGTCAACTTGAACGAAGTCGAGGGCAAATTTGAGCACAATGGGTTCACCAGGTTAGATACCAGGTTTTCAATCGAAAGAACTGTCGAAATCACCAAACAACGACCTGTGATATTGTGGAAGACTAGTGTTATTTGCGAATCTTTATTTTCGAAAGCACAGCAACTGAAGTGGGAAATACGTGGTAGGACAAACCAAAGGACGTCCACTAGTCAGCAGATAAAGAGGGCCTTGGAAATGATACAGAATGTTTAGTTCTTACTTGGTTTCTCGTTCTATCTTTATGAGTCCTCTAGTCACCTACTGCATCTGCGTGGCCATAGGATATAGTTTTGTTGAGCTATGCATTTAAATATGTTCCAAATCCTTGAATCCATCATGCATTCTAGGTTGTGGTGGTGCATCAGCTACATCGCTATATAAGTGTGTGGATATTTGGCGTCATCCTATAACACAAATCATTAACCCACCATTCTGCAGAGTTACAACAGAAGTTAATCGGAAGGAAACAAAGACTGTATTAGCACTAGAAGCAAAATTTTCTGGGCTGAGCTTAATATTTAGGCCGATCCTAATCATGCCGCCAGCTCAGAGAACAATGGAAATACTTTTCCTAACTGTCCTCAAGCCCTAATGAAAATCATTCGGTGACCTTAAGCAGTTGACTTGCAAATGAAGAAGCACTTTGGACTCTGTCATTCTACTTCACCATAAAATTGTTTCTGGTCTGGGTATAAGGGAAAATCTGTTCTCCCCCCTTCTTAGACTGCGCAGCTACCTTCGTTTTCACTCCAAAATCATTTTGCCAGACATGGTAACTTCAGAACACATTGAGCCGTGGGTCAAAAGATGGCTGTCTTCTTATTTTTCTGACAAGCAACAATTAGAAGCGACCTGTTGCTTTTCCAACTGAAGCTGGAGTGTTGTAAAGTGCTGAGCTCTTTCCATTTCGTTATCCTTTCTTTTTGCACGACTGCTGCATCCTTTAAAGCAAATAGCAGTGAAAATGATAATGAGCTCGCCGTTTCTCCGCTAACTATTTCTGGATAACATTGCACCGATACGAGTAGTTTCCCATGTGAGTCTATCCATTAGTTCTGTTCAGATGTTCAGAAATGCTCTAAATGCGTGGACTGATTCATTTACATGATTCACGTAACATCGGCGGCAGTTCGGCTGGGAAAAAACCGAATAAACTGCGCCAACTCTTCAAACCTACTTAAAAATGGAAATACTTATGAAGTTGATAAATACTCAGTGATATAAATTTTTGAAATATTTGAAGGCCCACTTTATGATAATTACGGACTAGAAGACGTGTGTGTGTTCCCCTCATATTCACTCGAAATTCAGTCATTGAAATAAATTCGTAACAGGTTGCATTTTCGTGTAAGTTGATATGGACTTCTTTTGTTTGTGTGTATCATTTTGAATCATTAACTCACCACTTAGGTCAATACGCACTTTTGACATTATAGTAGCCGTGGAAATTAATTACATACTAATTTGACCTTGTTCTAGAGTGTTCACTTATCTGTCATATGTAGATAAATGTTAAAAAATTGATTTGTTCACGGTTGCCTTTAAAATATGCCAGTGGATTTTTATTTACCACAATTCACCTCCAAATTATATGAAGATTCAAGTGTTAAGACTCCCATCTAAAGTGAATCTTTTATACTTAAAAAATGACGAACAAAAAATATTAATAAACATGAAACCACTCGGTAGATGTCGGGAAATAAGCTGTGAAAACCCTAATGTAAGCTCTGAGAAATTAAGAACGAACAGCATGCAGGACATCGCAAACAAACGTCTTTCTGTACAGAATGATCGGATTACAAGGTATGCAAGCCCTAATCGCTTTGACTCCCGTGCTGTCCCATGCAGCTTCTTGGATTCATATAGATCTTACAGGTAATGATTTTCACCGTCCCCTAATTTCTTCTTTACTATAGATGGCCTCAAAAAAATGAAACGAACTTTAATAGATCCAAATTTAGATCATCTATGCAAACAAGCCTTTCCTCCTATGCAGTTCCCTATACAGAGGAATATGCTTTTGATAAATCTATACCCAAGTTTACTGGACAGAATCCAGAATCCGTAGTAACAAGTAATGTAAAATTCTGCGAGAAAAACATATCTTCCCTAATTGGTAATGAACAGTCGACTGGGATTCCGCCTGCAAGATATGAGTAAGACAAGAACAAATTTTTCCCTGTTCGACTTTTAGTGTTCATGTTAGTAAAACAGTTATCAACATCTTTAAAACCCACTTTTTATAGTTAGGCGTTAAATAATCAGGAATGATATGTAACAATCCTTTGCTTAAAGAAAAAACCAGGCTCAGTTAAATACGTAAACTGCAGTTGTAGAAGTAATCACTTGAACTTATAACAAGTAATTTGTCATATTTTTTTGGACGCATCTATGGCTAAAGACAGCAAAACACTGTTTTTATTTATTTATTTTACTATAGATTGACTCTGTACAGTATTTAGCATAAGTATGGAATTTGCAGCGTGTTATATCGGTAGCCCAAATTTTTTAGGCCGATCATTGATATCAGGTAGTTCGCATTACAATAGTATGTTACAAACAATAAAAATAACGACAGAGTTTTGTCTCAATAAACAGCGCTTCACGGAACTGATATAACTCGTATGAACCTGTGAACAATATTTTTATCAAGTACTAATTTCAGATGACTAGTTTATTCAGGGTTATCCTATTATGAATTTTGATTATTATGTTTGACACTAAACAGAATGAAATATGTTGCCAACAGAAGGATGCAGTTTCGTTTCATCAAGTCAATAAATGACAATCCATTGACAGGTATTGTTAATATCCTAAGCTTGGAAACCTTTGGAACTTTTTTATATTACTGCTTAGAAGCAGTAATAATTGTGTTCACGCATCGTCTGATCTTCAGCAGCCCTGTTTGTATGACTTGATATTACATCGTTTTTATGAAATAAACGTTTTGTAATAAGAATCCTCACTTACCAGTGGATTTCCTTATTTTCACTTTTCATGTTTAACAGTATTAGGTAGTATGGCTAACTGAGTATCTCATTTTACACTTGCTTGAATTTAACCCTATTTGACATTCTAGTACCACCTAAAAACTGTAAAATTTTGTCTATATGCAAAACTTCAGGAGCTTCACAGCTCTTGACTAACAAAGCTTACCGTATAATTACTTAAAAATGTTTTTGCTGGAAGAGGTGGATGTTTATAAAGACTGGTATCGTTGTCTTTAGATTAGGTCTTTATAAGGTAAGGCTGCACCTTTAAGTAGTTTTATATGCTGTGTTTTAGGTTTAAGTTTCCAATTAACTTTGTGGTTTCCTCAAGGATGATGATGAGATTGTTACACATATTTTTCATTCTATTCACTCCTGTTATGCATTAGATGAACACAGTAATGGCTACTCTATATCCTAGTGTGCTGGCAGTTCTGGTTAAAGTTCAGTCAAGTAATCTTACATTAATATTTCCCAGGTTATCGCATATAAAATAACTGGGTCAATATGACTGCTAGTGTATTAACAAGTAGAGTATGTTTAGGTTGTGATTTTAGTGCCCTTCAAGAAAATAGAGTGCAAGAGTCCGGTTATATCACATGAAATCTATTCGTAGATATTCTATACTGCGTCACAGAGACTTCTCTCCGACCTCGACTGTCCATAAACAGTCTCTGAAAATATTGTGGGTATCATTTTCAGAACTGTTCTCTCTTTTTCATATGGCTTGAAAAATAAACTGATTTACGGGAAAAATGGCATGCATTTTAAAATAATATATAATAAAGCATGTAGCTGAGTACATATAAACTAGTGAAGCAAGCGAATTATTGATTTCTCACTATGCAGTGGCTGTTGTTAAGTTATCTGTTCATTATTGCCGAATCACTCCTCAGAGTCATTAATCTAGAAGACAGGTCATCGTGGTTCACTTTGAACTGATGTTAGTAGTCTTCATACACCCCCAAGAAGCATTTATAAAGATAAATCAATACAAAAAATCTTCAAGTAGCTTCTCAGCTTCTCATCACTGAATGCACTAATCTTCCCTTCATTTGGTGTAATACATTGTCCAGTGGCTTTTGGACATCAGATTACAAACTGTAGTTAGAAAACTATCAATGTAGTGCATTGAGTGGTAGTTGTGAAATTACTCATTACATCATCATCGATTAGGAATGAAGGTCGAAATGGTTTACATGTTGAAATTACCATCTGAAGGGGATTTTTGATCCCCAATATTTTGAAAATACATAGCTAACCCATTAAAGTGGTGTTTTGCCGTATGGCATTAGAAATATATTGAGTACGTCTGTGGCTCAACAGTAGAATGTTAGCCAATCTCAAATATCGTTCGGCACCCGATTTCCGGGAAAGACCCCACAAAAAATGGATAGCACCACCGAAATTGAGACTTTAAAGCTTGGAGCCTTATGTTTCACTCGGAGTAAGATTAAAAAGATGTTAATTAGATTGATGTTGATTGGTTGTCAATCGATTCTCGCTCTTGAATTTGATCAAGTTTTATGTTTTTACAGGCTGATCACGGATTGATATCAGTTAGAGAACCATTGAAAACCAGGGAGTACTGGACAGCTGTTTCATCCTAGAATAGGATTTCTTACTCGTATTAAAGATTATTACTACTGAGTTTCAAATTCTGTGCCGAAAATTTCTATTTTAACTTGTGTAAACATATGACCATTTCAGCAGACACATAAATGTTTAGTCTGTTTGGTTAAATAAGATTTTAATCAGGATTTCACAAATTTTATAGTTTTTTAGTTGGTTTGTAAGGATTAGTTTTGTTTTAACGAGTTGGTCATAGATTGATATCAGTTAGAGAACCATTGAAAACCAGCACTGGAATACTGGATAACTGTTTCATCCTAGTTTGGGAATCATCGGCAATACACACTCAATGGGGTTCGAATCCAGGACCTTCTGGTTGCAAGGCAAGCTCGTACACCATTCAGCCACTGTGGCTGATATCAATCCGTGATCATCTCGTAGAAACAAAACTAATCCTTACAAACCGACTGTAGGAAGTTAATCTGAAGCTCGCTAGTGACTTGCTACAAGACAGAGTCTATTAAAGTTCTAGTAAGAAGTCGTGACCAGTGAATTCCATCCATTCAAGTGTGAGGATGGATATCCCACTGATGACATTGGTAGGTGGTCGCGCTAAGTGCATCACGAATTGGTAGAAGTTAGAATTCATGGGCTAGTCATTGAATCGGGTCCCTCCCAGTGGCTGAATGGTATACGAGCTAGCTTGCCTTATAACCGCGGGATCCTGGGTTTGAACCCTGTCAGTGGGTGCGTACTGCTGATAATTCAAAAACTAGGACGAAGCAGCTGTCCAGTAAGTACTCCAGTGCAGATTTTCAATGGTTTTCCAACTGATATCAGTCCGTAATCAACTCGTAAAAACATAATTAACCCTTACAAACCAAACTATAGACAAGTTTTATGTTTCATACATACACATACATTAATACATTTCTTCTCATTAGAAAAGTCGGACTAGGCAAGAACGATAAATGTACTGGGATAATATGAACTCATCTTTGCTTACCTTAAGGATTTTTCTCAACTAGCTACAACTTGAACAATACAAAGAAGAATAATAAATAACAGTTAAGTTTTGGACATATTATTTCTGTGACGAAATAGGGTGATTTACAGGAAATAAGGGTAAAATAAGTCCGGGATGATGTAAACTGTTAGATTATTAAGGGTTTAAAGGTGTTCAAGACAATAAATAGGTAAAAGGAACCTAGTTTTAAACGTCTGGCCTAGATAATCACCATTAAACGATTAAAAACCAAATCTAGATACTCAGATAGAGACAAGAGTGAATTTTGCATTATCTTGGTGATTAAAACAGGTATAACAGAGTACACGAATTTTTATTACGTCATACAGTCCCCCTATATCTTCTGTCCTGATTAAAAAATTTTAATATTTTATCTAAACACTACTCATCCTATTCCTTTTTTGTTATGTTGTGAAAACATATCTTCCATGGTTGCGTAATCTGTTATATTACTAAATTCTTTTTATTTAAACTTTATTTCTATCCGAAATTTTTGAGCTCTATCCACAGAACCATTGGTCTAATTATCTTATAAATAATCAATCCTTTTAACCCTTAATAATTTAACAACTTAAATCATTCCTGACCTATGTTCCTCCACCTGCTTATCTACCACTCTCTGTCATCGTGTAAAAAGTATGCTCAAATCTTTATTGTAATTTATATATTTTGGTATTGTTCAAGTCGTAGCCAGTTGAGAAAAGAATCGTGGAAATAATAAAAGATAAACCCATATGACCATAGTACGTGATTGTCATTCTTCCTTTTTTAAAGCTTCCTTTATGTTTTAATTCCAATAGATAACTGTTGGTTGAACGAATAAAACACCTAGTTTTAGCGCAATAAACAGCTTATTCGTTTAAAATTTCCAGAATATCGATAGTTTTAGTATATTTTTGAAGGTGAGTTTATGGGGATTTGATATATTTCTGTTTTAACCAAGGACTAATATCAATTAGTAGGCTGCAACAGATTGGCTGTGAGGACAAATACTTGCCGAAGACATTGTCTAGGGGTCGCGCTATGTCATGAATTGGCAGAAGTTGGAATTCATGGGCTGGCCATTGGATCGGATCAGGTGCCAGTGGATTGATGGTCTACGAGCTCGGTGGCTTTGTAACCAGAAGGTCCTTGGTTGGAACCCTGTTGGTGGGTGCACACTGCTGAATAATAGTCCCAAACTAGAATGGCGAAACAGCTGGCTGTCCAGTTCTGCAAGTTTGTTTTCCAATAGTTCTCTAACCAATGTCAGTTCATGATGAAATCTTGTAATTAGAGAACCGTTGAAAACCGATAGAAAGTACTGGACAGCTATTTGCTGCTAGTTTGGGAGTAATCGGCAGTACGCACCAACCTCCATGCTTCGAACCCAGCATCTTCCAGTTGCAACAAAGGCTCATAGATTATTCAGACACTTGAACCCGACTGCGTTATTGCAACTTTTAGTATAAGAAAATATTTAAATTGATAAAAATGAAAAATACTGACTGCAATGACTGTATATTATAAATCTAAATGAAGCTATATGTTGTTAGTTTCAGTACTGTGGTAATCTTGTGACGCACTCGTAACTTCCTTCTTGCATGAAGTCAGCTTTTAGTACTTATAAACAATATACCTTTTGTCTTCTATTCATATAATAAAATCTTAACGGATATACGTAACATAGTTTGTTTTATTTTGTTGTACAGAATGCAGAGGTTCCGCTTTTCTGTATAATTAATGCTTATACTTACTTACCGTGTTACTCGTTAGTTTCTTTGTTTGTAAATAATAAAATACAGCGTTGTTAGATAATTACTATCCACTCTTACTGTTCTCAAAGAAAACTGACTTGTAGAAATTTTTTTGCATAATTATCACATCAATGTATAAACCTAGATTTCATTCAGTTTATTGCGACCGTTGGCTTTCATCTCCTCTTCAAATGTTCTCCCCCATAACACCCTGGGATGCTAAACTCCTGAGGAAAATTGATTCTCACTGTATGGAGATTTTGGCTTCTGTTGATGACATCATGATAGCCACTCCCTCAGTATTCTTGTGTTTGTCGTCTAGGTGACGGGAGTAGATTATTAACTGTCCACCTGCTTTATAGGACTGCTAGCACTTCTATGCCATATCTTCTAATTTCTTCAGTAACCTGGGCTGTCTTACCATCTTCGTATATTATTGTGCGAACATTCCACATCGCAATCCTTACTTAGTTTTGCTTTCATCGGTTGAAGACACACTGGCGGACGACTAGCTTCCCGAAGGCTTTCACAAAAGGCCGTATCATTCTATCTCTCCAATTCCACTGAATAATATGTTCGTTGTTTATATTTCTGTAGTGAATGGAGTGATTTTGTTTGGAAAAACAAATGTCAAGTCTACGCCCAACGTTCCACTATTCCGGGACTTAGAACCATCAGCCAATGAACTAGTAGAATAATTGAAGTTATTCATTGCTAAGTCTATCTTGGTGTACTACACTTATTACTTTATGATGAAACATCTTGTCTGGAAAGCTTATCGAGTGTACATTTTCTGAAGTTTTTCAAAGTTATTCAGCCTTAAAGAGGTGATATTAAAAAGACGGTTGCACCAAAGAACAAAATTTTCTTTCTGACGAGGTCATCAACTAGGCTGTACATTTCTGTACTTATAGTAAATGGGTGAGAAATTTCCGGGACTATTTCCGATCACAGCTTGAAATAATGAAGTTGCGAATAGGGATTAAAATGTGATAGTAAGTCGGAAGATCGGGCAAAACACATATTAGGATCACAATTACTGACAAAATTAACTTTTTTAATGCGATCGGGGATTAGAAATATACTAATAACGAAACAGACGAGTATTTGGGATAACAAAATATAGTAACACAAATTATTAGTATTATTTTCTTTAATTCCTAGAAGAACATAGGGCTTCAGCTACGCATCTCCATTGCCTTCTGTTTTCTGCCAACGTTCTCACCTGGCTCCAAGTCTGCCCACATGCTGTCATCTTCTCTTCACATGACCGCCTCCAAGTCACCCTCTCATTGACGACCTACTCACCGCTCCACTTGAGTGACGGCTTATCTAGTGATGTCACTTGATGGTTTCCTCAAAGTATGGCTAGCCAATCCACCTCCATTTCTTCTTGCCCATTTGTTGCACAATCGGTTCCTGCTGCGTTGGTTCGCTCCCAGAGATCCCTCCCTGTTGGTGATCTTTTCTGTCCCGCCATCTGATCTAGAGTAGTATTGAGCGAAGACAGCTGTTAATGAAGGTCTGTAGTTTGTTTGAGATGCTCTTTATGACTCGCCAAGTCTCTGATCCGTGTGGTAGGTAGCACTGACTTTACATTAGAGTTGAAAATCGGGATCTTATTATTGATGCTGATAATAATATAAGTCATCTGCAGTTATTTAACTCTGCAAATAACTGTAGATGCCTTATATTATCTCTTATTAATGTTATCATTACTTGTTTCACACATGCCATCACTCATTTCGGACATATGGAAAATACTACTACCAGTCAAATCAACCAATGGAAAATGATGATGGAATTATATAACCGAAGTTAAAAAAGTTGTGTGAGTAGTGCCTTGATATGATTATGAGCGGTAGTCATAAATTGTGCTCGAAACGTAGTCATCAGTAAATATTACTGTACACCAACACTGTGCGTCGGTGGCACAGTGGTTAGGACTCTCGCCGACCATGCACATGGTCCGGGGTTCGAGCCCACGCCGGCGCACACCTGATATCTATGGTCGGCCTGCGAAATTTGGGCTACCGATATCCATGCTGAAAATTCCATACTTGTACCAAAAATACAGTGTGGAATCAAGCTGTAAATCTAAAAATCTAAAAAAAAAATCTGTGAGACTTTATCAAAATAAATTTTACCCATAATGAAACTTAATGTACGGTACGCATGGATACAAGATAACCCATATATATATATATATATATATATTTGCGATTGTACAGCTAAGAAAATGAATTCACAGCCGAAAATAGACTCTTCGCTGAACTACGTGTGTTTTGTTTTCGTATAAATTTGACGCTTGATTCAAAATACTTCTGGAATTTTCTCATGCATTTACCAAAGAAAAAAAATAATACACGAATATACAGTCAGTCTAGTTGATGGATGACTTCATCAGAAAGATAAGTTTTTTCTTCATCTTCACTACAACCATCAACCTCCTTGTTTTTTGTACCATTTCCCATGATCTAATATCCGTACATTCTTGTTTTATTATGTGGACGTATTTAACACTTGGTTTGATGCGCTGATAAGTGCCAGTTGTTTTGTTTTTTAATATTTGGTAGTCTTTGAAATCATTTTATTTTTAGTTTTTTAATTTTCTTTGCAGGTCGACTGGACCATGTATCTCTATTTCTAGACAATGTTTAACAAATGTTGTGAAAGCACCTAACACCAGTCTTAGTAACACTACTACAAATTGTAATTCTAATTCCCTGATAAAACATTTCAATGAAACCTCGTCCTCTCCGCATAACATATCTTCTACTGCCTATCGAACTTTACCACGGAATTATCATCAGCATCATAATTATTATTATTATGTTTCACATGAAAATCAATCACAACCACAACCCCAGCAACAATTGCAACCACAAACACAATCACAACATCAATGTTATTCTTTTCATCGAGGTAGGTTCTCATCAACACAATTTGTGCCATTGTATACACTGACACCTAGTTCGGTTGATTTTGGTTTTTGGTTTTTCGGTGTGTGTGTGTGTGTGTGCGTTTTATAGATATTTTGCATTCCTCATTTTGATTTTTCATGTTCCAAAGTATGTAAGATAAAATAAATATAATAAATAAAAGGGGAAACTTTCTGAATACTGAGGGAGGAGGGGTTTGGTTGGTTGGTTGGTTGGTTGAAGAGATGAGAGAAACTAAGGCAGGCTAATTAATAAATCAGAAGTTGGAGAAACAAAAATTTAGGGAAAGAGGAAAACAACACAGGAAATTGATACAAATTTCACACACCCATTATACTACTTTATAGAATTGCATGGAATATATATACCTACAAGGTGGATTTTTATTGATAATGTGAAAATGTTGGCTCCTTAATTCAGCACAACAAAATTACCATTATAATCTTACATACCCTTATGGCTATTTCCTCTCATAGTGTTATGTTTTTAACTAAGAAGTTCTAGGTACTTTGAGAAATCCTGTTGGGCTTTTTATACAATTGGATTGTGTTCTTTAAACGTTGTTACAGAATACGTTTTATGGTTCAAGCGGTATGGTATAAGACTAATATTCTTATTTTTTTTAAATGGTTTTGCCAAAACATTTGTTCCCGGTTAGTTCAGTTTTATCAGTCAGAGAGCCTTTAAAATTTTCGGGAGTACCAAACAGACGTTTTGTTGAAGTTTGGAACTCTTCGGCAGCATGCACCCACCGGGTTCGAATCCAGGACTTTAGGTTACAAGACAAGCTTGTAGATTATCAACTATTGGGATGGGTTAAATGAAGTGCTGGCAAACCAATAAGTGATAATTAATTTGATACTGACTAGTGATTGGCTCTACACCTGGAGTTTGAGTGATAAGTCATAATCGGAGGGCTGAACAACGTGAGGTAGCAGAATAGTTAATAGCTTGTTACACTGGCTGGCGGTTGTCCCTTGGATTCTGAGTGGGACACATGGCTTCAGTAGTACATCTTCACTTTGTTCTATTCTCTGAGGTCTTTTTCAGCTGTTACCGAAATATATACACACTTGCGTCCTCCCTTTGCTAGGCAGACTGGATATTGTTCTCGAGCGAGTTTTACAAATGGAAAGCTGGTCCCTCAATTTCAAAGAAGCTCTCATGTTATCTTCGCATGATCTCATTCATGATACCCTCGAATTCCCAACTCGTCGTTTCCCATTGGGCTTCGCTCAGTGGCCTGGCATGCGATGTCACTCAACGGTCTTTTCAGCTTGTGTCAGATCCTTCCTCGCCTCGTTCGGAATAGTAGTTGAGCAGCAGGGTTTTGGTTGGTTCGTTTCACTGCAGAGTTCCTTACTGCTAATTTTTGTAGTTTGTCATTTGATCTTAAGTACTGAGCTACCGAGGGCAGCTGTTTATAAACATCTTCAAAATTATTATTATTATATTACTACTTCCTTTAATTCCTAGAGTAACATAGAGCTTCAGCCGCGCGTCTCCATTGCGTTCCGTTCTCTGCCAACGTCTTCACCTGGCTCCACTTCTGCCCACATGCTATCATCTCCTCTTCACATGACTTCCTTCAAGCCACCCTCTCATTGACGACCAACTTGCCGCTTCCCGTTCGAGTTTCACTAGAGCGATGGCCTGGTGTGGGATTTCCTTTGATGGTTTTCTCAGAGTATGGTCAAACCATCTCCATTTCTTCCTGCCTATTTGTTGTACAGTCGGTTCCTGCTGGGTTGTTTCGCTCCCAAATATCTCTGTTGCTGATCTTTTCTGGCCGGCCATCTGGTCTTGAGTATTGAGCGAAGACAGTTGCAAATGAAGTTCTATAGTTTGTTTGAGGTGCTCTTCATGACGCGTCAAGTCTCTGATCCGTACAGTGAGTAGCACTGGCTTCATATTGGAGTTGAAAATCCGGATCTTATTTTCATTTTCATGCTGAGTGCCGTTGACTTCTTGCACACAGACTTGAAGGTAATGAAAGCTTGTCTTGCTTTCGCGATCCCTGCTTCGATATCCTCGTCAGTCCCGTCCACCTGTAGTTGAAACGATGCTTCTCTGGTAGGTGGGTAGGTGAAGGAGGTTGTTTCTATCAGGTTCCTCCCATTTATGCTGACTGATTGTTGTCTGTTGTTGTTAATGCTGTTGGTGTTGGTGGTTTTGCCCAGGAATCTTCAGAAGACTTTTGGAAATGCTGTTTGTGAAGTGTTTGGCAAGTTTCGGAACCATGTAGAAGAAGTGAATAATTGCATATTGATGTTAGAAATCACGATTTCGCTGTTTTTCCTGAGTGCAGAAGATTTATGAACTGATTTCAAAGTGATGGAGGTCTTCTCTGCCATCCCGATTCTAGTTGGACTACGTATATATATATAGTGAATTGACAAATGTTATGATTCGTGGTTCACAGTATCTGAATAATATACAAGCTCACTTGCAACCAGGAGGTCCTGAGTTCGAACCCTGGTGGTGAGTGAGTTCTAGTAGAAAGTTTCAGTGGTTCTCTAACTGACGTCAGCTCGTGATCAAACCTGTAACCTGCAAACCGACAGCTCAATCAGTGTTCAGCATATATTCAGCAATGCAATTAATCAACTTAATACTGTTAAATTTGAGTTGACGAAACAAGATGTGGGATATCGTAGTCACTTACATAGGTATTCGGTATTTGAAGTGACTTCAGTAGCTGATGAGAAGAAAGATTTCATCGCCTCTCCCTCAGTTATCCACAAATCTTTTGATATAAAGACCAACTATTTGTGGTCTGAGGCTACTCAGATTTACTGCCAGTTTCCTATTTAGCACTTACGTAGTTATCGTTTTGTAAATAATGGTTATATAATAGTAATTACTGTTATTTTTGTTCCCTTGGGTTCCAAGTGCAGTATAGTGCTTCAACAATATATCTCCACTTCGTTCTATTTTCCGCCGTTCTCTTCATCTGTGTCCATGATTGGCCAAACTCTTTCCTTTCTTCCATGTCACCTCCACACCGACAACCCATTCGTTGCCTCCTATTTGGAATCTACTCGAGCAGTGGCTTGGCGCGTGATGTCATTCGACGGTTTCTTTAATGTATGCCCTATCCATCTCTATTCTTCCCACATATTTGTTGAGCTATCGGTTCTCAATTGTTGGTATGTTGCCTGAGTTTCTTGTTGCTAATCCTTTCTGGCAATTCGATCTTCAGTACGGAGCTAGTGAAGGTGTTAGAGTGCGGAAGATTTCCAAACTGTTTTCAGGGTGATGAAGTCATATCTTGCCTTTCCTATTTTGACTGGCCTGCTTTTGACATCTCCGTCCGTTTCGTCTATAGTTGAAACGATGCTTCCCAAATAAGTGAAGCGGAAACCTCTGTTTGAAGCTATCCTGTTGATGGTGATTGGTTGGTGCTGGTTGTTGTTGCTGCTGCTGTTGTTATCGGTTCGTTGGTTATCTTCACCACTACCTTCGTCTTCTTTTTGTTCACATACAGTCCTGTCTTGGCTGGTTGCTTCTTCAGCCGGTTTGTTGGTTTCCCCCTGAAAGTCTACGAGCTTGTGTAACACATCTGCAAAATCTAGCCAGATCTTCTAAAGTCTTCTTTTGGGTGGTCCAGCGTATTTCTAACTCCTCGCTCTCTATGCACAGTCTGATACATAATCCAGTTCACCACAATCAAGAATATCATCGGTGATAATAGGTTATTTTAGTTCAAATAAATTTAAATGAAGTTTGTCCATTTTTTAGTCATATCTGTATACCAACCACATGATTGTTTTAGGCAGTACAGCTATTAAATGAATCAAATATATATTCAGATAAGAAGTGGATAGAAAATTTACTATCTTTATATTACATCTTAATCCTCGAAAATAAGAAGATACAAAAAAACAGAGCTCCTTTTAGTAGGTAATAAAAAGAAATCTGATAAGGAAAGTATATATCATCATGATGACTGTTTTAAAGTATTTCCACATATCACCATGGAACACCATACAACAACAATTTAGTACTTTTTAAAATAAATGTTATTATACAACGATGTAGTTCGTTGCTATAAACATTTGTCTACCTTCCATTTTGTTTATTTTGAAGATACAAAAATTTAAACAAACTTTTATTATTTACTTTGATATCAGAAACTTCTTATTTAATGGGTTATTATTATTATTGTTATTATTATTATTATGATGAATGATGAATAAAATACTGACCTTATTTAGTGTCATTCGTTTGACAAATAAGTAAAATTGGTTTGTTTAAATGTATCATGTTTTCAATTGTTCAAGTGTCGATTAAAATCAATAATTAACATTTAAACTGACAACTTTCATCAATTACTATTTTGTATTAGTTACAGGATTTCATCATGAGCTGACATTGGTTAGGGAACCACTGGAAAACCAACTGGAAGTACTGGACAGTGAGCTGTTTCGTCAGTCTAGTTTGGGACTATTATTCGGCATTATGCACCCACCAACAGGGTTCCAACCAAGGACCTTCTGGTTACAAAGCCACCGAGCTCGTAGACCATCAAGCCACTGGCACCTAACTCGATCCAATGGCCAGCCCATGAATTCCAACTTCTGCCAATTCATGACATAGCGCGACCGCTAGCCAATGTCTTCGGCGGGTATTTGTCCTCAAACACGACCTACTACACCCTACTGGTCACGAATTCCCACTAGAACCACAGGTAACCACCCTGCCTGTGGGTGGGTGAGTACTGGTGAAGAGGCCCAAACCAGGCTGAGGAAACAGCTGGCTTTCCAGTACTCCCAGTAGGTTTTCCTATCGTTCTCTAACCAATGTCAGCTCATGATAAAATCCTCCATCTTATTTATAAATGTTAAGATAGAATAACTCATCCATGTTCACACCAATTGTTCTCTAAGCAGTATTATTTGGAAGTAATCGGCTGCTGTTCATAAGTCGCAGACTTGTGTATTCAGTTTAAATATCTCAAAACATCAAATTCATATACAACAT